CCCCAGAGGAGGGAGCGGCTGGGGCTGTCCCACCGCCCAGCAAACCAGGCTGGGCCCCCAGTGTTATCTGCAAACAGCTTCCTGTTTGAAACATCCCTGACCTGCTGGGGGCGGAGCAGTGTGGGAACGCAGACAGGGAGTCAGGCTCCCGGGGCGGCTGGCAGAGGCCTAGCTAACTCTCCCCGACACCCAGCATCTGCTGCTCTTCTCGTTCTTTCCTTTTGGAAAAGTGAGTGCCCAGCATCAAGTCACCAACCAGGTCAGGGCACAAGCCAGGGCTGTGGGCTCGATCCCCAGGGGGGACGGGCAGGAGGCAGCGGACCATGACTCTCTCATCATTGGTTTCTATCCCTCACTCCCTCTCTCTCTCTGAAATCAATGCAAACATACCTAACAATAACAATAAAATAAAACACGCCTTTTGGAAGTCAGGACAGCATAGGCGGAGTGGCCACGGCCACCTGGTGTCCCTCAGACGAAAACTAACGTGAATGTTTCTTGTTCCACGTGGGGCTTCACAGGGAAGCCTGAGGGCTTGTCCAGACCCACCCTGAGGTGAGCCCAGCTCACTCCTCCTTGTGCTTCCACGAGAAGGCAACCCATGCCCCAGACGCGTGTTGTGGGGGGCTGGGCGGCTCCCCTTATACAAGGAGGCGAGGCTTCTTTAAGAAAGATGCGTAGGAGATGGTCACGGAAAGCTGGCTTCAAAGTTGTTTATTCGACTGGAAAGGGAAGTCATAACAAATCACAGACATGAAGCCTGACAAGTTCCACGCACCTCACAGGACCGGGAGAAGGGCTCTTTGTTAAACTGCCGACAGCACCCGCACACACACAGGACATCTGAGGAAACGGAGCCACCACAGGCCCGACGTAGGGGGGAGGCGTCACGGACCCCCCATCCAGGGAACGATTCAGGACTCCCCGAAGCAACAGGCAGGTGGTTTCACAGAATCCCACGGAACACTTAGGGAAAATTAACACCAACTCTGCTCCTCCCCCAGCACATGGGAGAGAGCACTTAGCCATTCACCCAGGAGGTTGGTGTTACCCCGAAACCAAAGCCACACGAAGGCAGTGCAAACCCAACCATGGACCATAACCCACAGGGTAGAGATGCAAACACCTTAAAGGTCTTTATTGAAGGTATTACATGTCCCTTTCCCCACTGACCCCGTCCAGCCCGCCCCGCCCCCTTCACCACGCTATTGTCTGTGTCCATGGGCTGCTCAGCTCCCACCACCCACCCTCCCACTGAGATTCCATCTACAGATGCAAAATTCTTTTAAAATATTTTTATTGATTTCAGAGGGAGACAGAAACATCAATAATGAGAGAGAGAGTAATTGATCAGCTGCCTACTACTGATGATGTGCCCTGCCTGGGAATGGAACCATGACCACCTGGTTCTTAGGCTGTGACGCGTTTACTGTGCCTCACAAATGAACACCAGTCGTCAGGAATCACGGTGCTTCTCCTTCCCCTTGGCTCACTCCTAGCTCTCCAGTCCTGACCACTGGTGAAGGCCTTTCCCCTCGTGACCTCTGACCCTCAAGGCCACTTCCAGTGGGAGGAGAATCTGAGCCTCTCCGGTCACTGTTTACATTCCTCAGGGATAAGGGAGACGTCTGGACAGAACAGGCCGGGCTCTGGATGGAATTTCACTGGAGATTCAGCCTGTAGTCCTATCCCTGGGACACTGCCCCTTAGGGCATTCCCCACGGCTCCCCTCCAACAGGACGAGGGCTTCCTTCCTGCAGCTCCTGCAAGTGCAGGGCAACACGAGGCCCGCTCCCTCCCCAGTGCAGACTAGAGTCCCAGCCTGTGTACCCGCTCAGCTGGTCACTCCGGACACAGGACCAGGTGGCCTGGGCGTCATGCCAGGCATTGACGATGGTGGCTGGCAGCTGACCCGAAGCCCTAACGTGCAGCGGATGCTCATCCCGAGAAGCCTGTCCTCACTGCCCCGGCAAACAGGACCAGACCCTGCTTCACCTCCAACTGCCCCGAAGGCCTGGAGAAAACGAAGGGATCCAGTAGCCCACTGGCCCGTTCACACCTTAGATGAAAACCCAATCTCACCCTCACACTTGACCTTTCCAAGACCATGAGAGACCTAACGTGAAGCCCCACATGGACACGCGCGGCCCTGGGGGAGCGGAGGGGAGGGGAGGGGAGGGCTCAGTGAGTCTGGTTCAGTTCTACTGACCAACCGGGCTGGAGGCCTGGCCAGGACACCGAAACGTGCTCAATGCTACTGAGCTGTACACGTGACAATGCCGGAGATGTAAAGCTTGTATGCTTTTTAACCACAAAAGAAAATTAGCAAACACAACACTTTCTCATCAGACTGCGCGTGGAAAAGCCCGTCCCCGTCACACAGCTCAGCTCCTGACACTGCCCGCCTCTCACAGGAGCCATTCAAGCCCGGGCCACCCGACTGCGCGGTTCAGCACTGCTGGGGGCGTGTCTGCACCTTGGGCCGGGCCACACGGAGGCGCTGCTCTGGGGCTACTTCCCCTGACACCGTCATATCCCTGCATCCCGCCTCCCGCCGGGCCTGAAACCTCGCCGAGGAGGGAGCTACACCGTCTCTGAGATTCTGAAAGACCCTCCTCAACACAATACTAAGAATGTATTTTATTTAGTCATTTTTCTTTACAGCTGGAACTCTGGGAATTCAAAATTAACGTCCTTGCCCGTGAGCTTCTTATAGACACCAGAAAAAGTTTCAACCTTCAAGAAAAAAAAAAACATCAAAAATAACAGAATTTTCCTACTTTGCCCCTTGTCCCCATGCACAACCCCTCTAAAGCCAAACCCTGGAAGCAGTAACTTCCCGTTTCCTAACAACCCAAAACAGCCCCGAGGTAGACCCGGCACACGGGTTTCCACCCCGTCCTGGTGCCTCACACACCAGAAAAAGTTTTATCCTTGTGCTCAACGTTGTTCTGCTGCGCTTTGTCCAGATGCACCTTGATGAGCCGGCTGCCGTCCAGCTTCACGCGGATCCTCTTGCCCACGATCTCGCTCGGGAAGACCAGGTCCTCCAGGATGGCGTCGTGCACAGCGGTCAGCGTGCGGCTAAAGGACAGGGACAGTGAGGGTCCAGGGGACAGAGGAGCTCCGCTAGGCCGAGGGCACCTCTGCACGTCACAGCCTGAAGGGCAGGTGCCAGGTCCCCCCAAACCACACCTGCACCCGTTTCCACACACACTCCCGACACCCAATACAGCGACCAGGGCCACAGCCAAACCAGGAGGGTGACAACCACCTACTGATTCATTTGCAAGGTCAGTGTGAGATGCCACCTGGTAAACGAGTCACCAAGCCTCACCAAGTGAATCTCCAGGGAAGGGGCGAGGACTTCACACCCATCGTAGGCGCACGTTCACTTGTACGCCTCCTCAGCTGTCACGCTCATGTGATCACGTTTATCCACCAAAGGTCCTGCAGGAGCTCCCGCGGCCTCTCACCACCCTAACCCTCGTTCTCAACAATCACTCGAGGCAACATCCCACCCCTAGAGACTTCTACCAGCTCTAGGACAGCGGCCCCTGAGGCCCCCCAACTTCCAACCCGTCACCCCTCCCCCCAAACCGCCATGGACCCTGCTGCCCCTGACATCACATCACCTTCGCAGCCCATGGGCTGCTGACAACGGAAGGTCAATGACTCCCACCCTTGGAGGCACCGCCAGGCAGTGCAGGTGGCGGGACTGAGCCAACAAGACAGTCCTCCAGCTGACAGAGCTCCTGTGCCCCGGGGGGTGTCTAGGGCCCTGTCCCCGGATCAGCACGGTGCGTGCGGCACCAACCCAGTGCCCGCCTGGAGGCCCCACACGCAGGGAAGGCTTTCTAGTGGCTCCCAGTCCAGTGACTGCCAGGGTCTCACTGTGACGCGGCCACAGACCACCCGCCACGGCCTCCATCACCTCCAGGGACAGACAAGACAGTGGGTCACTGACCACCGCTGCCCCTTAGAGCAGGTTGTTCTCACAGGGCGGGGCAGGCGCTCAACATGGGAATCCGTCATTATTCCCTTTCAGACAAATCAGATGGAATCAAACCCTGGCCGGTGCCGGTAGCTCGGGCGGTTAGAGCATCGTCCCATACACCATGGGGCTCCATCGCGGTCAGGGCACATGCGAATCAACCACCGAATGCACGAATAACCGGAACAAATCAGTGTCTCTCTCTAAAATCAACAAACATTTTTAAAAAGGCATCTCAGACTCCAACGCTGTCTAACTTCTCTTCAAAGGGCAGCCACAGCAACACAACTTTGATAACCACCAACCAGAGACTGAGCTGCGTCAGCGAGAAATGTTTGAGACTTTGCTACAGATTAAAAGCCAAACAACATGTAAACCTCAGCATTGAATCTGTGAGAGAAAGACGACCCCTGAAGCAGGAAGCACGTCAGAAGGCAGGAGGCCCGGCTGGGCAGGGGGTCCCCCGAGGTGCCCGAGAACTGGGTCTGTCAGGAGGACAGTGGCCACCTGAGGCCGTGGGACCGCAGGTCGGCAAAGAGGAGTGAAGGCGGCAGGTCCGGGGCCAGGTCCTCAGCTGGGCGCAAAGCCGAGGGTCTGTTTTTGTGCTCAGAGCTGAGATCACAAACCACTAAGGTGTCAAGATTAACAAACTAAATGCTCTTGATAATCTCCTCCATCTGACCTCTTGCAAACTAGCTAGGACACAGGAACCTCCCTGGACTTTTCTTTTTACTCTGAGAGCATTGATGAAAGCTGGGGCAGGGGACGAGGGAGGCTGAGGAGGAGCAACAGGGGAGCCCAGGCCGGGCGGCTTTGGCTCAGAAAAGTCAGAGAAAAGGGGCCCTGGAGACAGTCCCAGGGGGGAGCCCGGGACGAGCTGCCGCTGCCCGTCACCCCCGGCTGCAGGTCTCAGGACCCCAGGAAACGCACACCTGAGAGGGGAGGTGGCAGGCTCCCAGGAGGGAGAGCATGCGAATTCCTTAATTCTTATGACACTAAAGCTGCCCAAGGACAAGCTCAAAGGACCGAACCCTATAATTCAAGCCCCGGAAAACCCACACCTGCCTTCCCAGCCTCACCCACCGATGTGGGGCAGTAAGTACATCAGCCCACACCCTGGAGTCCCCCCTGGTCCTACTTCCAGACACAGGGAAGTGGCTTCACCACCCCCAGACCTCCCGCACTGTGACAGCCGCCATGGGCCAGCACTCCAGGCCGTGCCAGTCTCCCCACCTTGACGTTTGTATTTACTTTTTATTATTTTCCCAGGTTTTCTTTAACTACTTACTTTAACAATTAAACAAACCTTTCCTCCCCACCCTGTGAGCAGGGAAGGCATACAAACTACACACTGAAGGCCCATCTGGCAGGGCAGGCTGCGGGCCAACCCTCCCAGCCTGTGAAACCAGAGACTTCGACCGAAGGCGCAGTCCACTATCCTGAGTCACACAGAGAACCCAGGCAATCAAGCTCATGAGCATCGTCACCAGCACCTACCAGTGCAATAGGCTCAACCTGTGACGTCAGCAACAGAAAAGGCGAATTTACCTTAATTCACAGCAAAGACGACAGGGCCGGGCCACCCCCCGCTGTGGGGTGCGCCCTGAACGAAGGGTCCCTTCCCTGTCACTCCTTTGCCCAAGAGCCAAGGACACCACCTCCATCTTGGGCGACAGCCGTGACCATGGTCCCAACCACGCAGCACTGTCATTCCTCCAAACCACAAACTCTTCACCTCCCGTTACCGAGGAAACCAGTCACTCACTAACAAGCCCAGGTGACGTGACTTCAGAAGCCTCCCCAGCTCTTCCTGCAACAGCCCCGGGAGGCAGCGGGCGACACGTTGAGGCCGACACCAGACTCACCTCCTGGGACGCTTCTGCTTATTCTTTGTTCGGCTTTTTGAGTTGGCTTGGGCAGAATCCTTCCTCTGCAAGGGAAACAGTTATCATGCAGCGGCAGCAACAGGACCTTAAGTTGTCAGGGAAACTGTCAAACTGCTTTAAAAACAGACACAGGACAGAACCTAAACTCTGAGAAAGCCAAGCCACCCAGACCAGCAAGTTCCTGAGAAACCCTCCCATCCCCTTTCCTCCAGCCGGTCCCTGGCGTCCCTGCACCCCTGCCTCCACCTGCCTCACCTGCGCAGCGTGAGCTTCAGGCAAGTGATTCTCAGGCAGAAAAATCCTGGCTCAGGTGCCTTCGTTTGATCACCTCTTTAAGCAACTATGTTTTTGCCATTTGAACATTAATAGCAACAGTGTACTCTGCCCCTTTAACCCGCCACAAGCACACCTTCCCCGGCTCTCTACCATCTACACTAGCTTCTCTACATTCACAACAGGGTTACTTGAATCACTCCAAGTGCCCACACAGCCCAAACACGCATGATCTCTGCGGAGTTCACGTCATAGAACCTTCCAGAGCACACAGGTACCTGAGCGATGAAGACCACGTGCTTCCCACTGAACTTCTTCTCCAGCTCGCGTACCAGCCGGACCTGGATTTTCTGGAAAGACTTGAGTTGAGGAACTGGGACGAAAATGATAATAGCTTTCCGACCTCCATCAACTTCGATTTCCTAAAAAAGACAAATCCGGAATCAGCCTACGTGCCCACCAGCAGATGAGTGGGTTAAAAACTGTGGTACGTCTACACAATGGAATACTACGCTGCTGAAAAAAGGAACTCTTACCATTCGCAACAGCATGGGCGGACACAGAGAGCATTATGCTAAGCGTAATAAGCCAATCGGAGAAAGATAAACATCACATGATCCCACCCGTTTGTGGAATATAATGACCAACATGAACACAATAGATCCAGAGACTTAGAAGCATCCAACAGACCGTCCAACCTCAGAGGGAAGGCGGGGAAGGGGAGAGGGGGGTAAGAGATCCACCGAAGGACTTGTGCGTGCATATGAGCATGACCCATGGACACAGACACTAGGGGGGTGAGGGCATGTGCTGGGGGGTGGGAGCGGCCGGGGAGAGGTCAATGGGGGGAAAAGGAGACATGGGCAATACTTTAAACAAATAATTTAAGTTAAAAAAAAAAAGACAGACCAATCCACAGTATAAGCTGAGAGCCTCCACGGTGCACGCTCAGGTGCGGCGTGCACTGTCAGACCGGAGTCCTGACTCCTGAGGCCCTTCTCGGGCCACTTTGCAGCCGTCCCATGGCCGCCAGCCCTCAGCTGTCACTCCTCCTGCCTCACGTGCAGGGACCGCCAGCCTATGAGCGCAGCACAGCTAACAACAGTCCACGGCGGGCAACTACGTTACGTAGCTTCCAACAACCACGGGCTGGCTCTGCTCTGCAGACTCGAAACTATGCGAGACACGCGTCCGAAAGCCCCCCATCGCCTGCACGCGGAGCGCGCGCGCTGAGGACAACAGCTTTGCGAGTAAAAATGGAAACGCGGCCGTCGAGTAGGGAGCCAGGGGTAAACCTGAGCCCAGGGGGTGAACCGCACACCCACCCCCCGTCAAGAATCAGCCCCGCCCAGGGCCGACCCCGCCACGTCCCCTCGTGCGGGGGCAGACGGGGTGGGACAGGCAGGC